GGGGAACCTGCGGCTTCTCTGCCCCCGGGGCCGGTTGACGCCGCTGCAGCCCTGCAGCCCTGGCCGCAGCGCCGGGCTGGCTGCCCGTGGAGATGCTGCAGGCCCTGGGCGCTCGGTGCATCCCCGGGCTGGCATCGCGGGGCTTGTCTCCAGCTTGGTGCACGGCCACCGGCAGTTCGCGCTGGCGGGAGGCCCGCAGTCAGCTTCCAGCGTGCCTGGCTGGAGGTGGGGGGGTTCTGCTTTGTCTGACCCCGAGAGGAATCACCTTTCCCGCGGCCTGGTGGAAAAATACTTCAGCACCCAGCGTTTCCCATCCCACCTGTGTGTGCCGTCTCCAGTCCTCCTGCCCCCAGTTTTTAGGCTTTGGCCTGCTCCAGGTGGTTTCCACCCGCTCTAGCCAGGCCTCTGCGCTTCACCCACTGCGTGAGGCTCATCTGTGCAAATCTGATGGGCTGCTTACAGCCTTCATCCCCCCAAAAGCCAGTGATATTCTCCCTTGTTCATGCTGGGATCAGAGCAAGGCCTTTACCACTTGTGTGCAGGGACACACTTCCCTTCGCACCACCTGGAGCAAGTCGCTGAGATTTTAATTTTTAGTGATATTTGTGCAGAATGACAGTTTCTGACCTGCATGTAACCCCCCACCCTGGGCAGGAGCGATCATTGCTTTCCTAACTGCCCCACGGTGGCTGCACACACCTGCAAGCTTTGCTAGTCCATCGCTGCTCCTGCAGCACCCTGGGCACCCTGTGAAGTTTTTAAAATGCCACCCATGTCTGGATGTTGACCCAAAAATGAGGCACTGGTGAGTTGCTTTGTGTGGCATTGCCCCTGTGTGCCACCCTTGTGTGCGGGCAGAGTGGTGACCCCACTCATCACCTCCATGGGCCCCAGACCTCTCTGTGTGCAAAAAAGACCCTGGTCCCAGGTGCTGTGTGGGCTCAGGGCAGTGCTCACTGCTGCGTGGGCATCCCCCTTCTCCTGTGAGAAAGGCAGAGGCAGGCGGGGGCTGCTGATGCTGTGGCAGGGTGGAGTGGTGGGGTATGTGGGGACACCCACAGATGGTTTGCTCAAGGACGGGGAGCCATGCAGGGAGGGGGTAGCAGGCTGTGCTGCCCCCCGGTCCTCCGGTTCAAGCCCTGTGCTGAGGGATGCTGCTCCGCCAGAGAGCGTTGCTGTGGCAACAGGGCGGCAGCGAGGCGGATGCAGGGGGACGCGCAGTCATGGCCGCCAGCCCCGCGCCACCTTGACACCCCAAAGGCGACAGGAGCTTGTCCTCTGCCCCTTTTGGACCTGTTCCCAGGGAACCAGACCCCGATGCGCCCCGGCACCTGGAGTGCTGCTGGCGGGGAGCATCTGGGTGATCTAGGCAGGGCTGCATGGTGCTGCTCAGGTTGAGAGCCCCAGGCATGGCCTCAGCTGGTATTGTGGGGATTTCACCAGGGAATTTTCAAATCCTCGAGGTGCGATACATGGGGCAGCACAGGAGAGCACCCACCCACCCTGACAGAGCCGCTGCACCCGGGGTTTGCACTGGTGATGCTAGGCAGGGGTTTGCTTTCACCCCCTTCTGCTGACTGCCACCGGACAGATACAGGGACATCTGGTCCCGGGTTGGCACACCCCAATGTCCCAGTGGTGACTGGGGTCTCCTGAGTATTGCTGCCTCATACATCAGTCCCACGCGAGCCTGTGGGTGTGCAGCCCCCCCAGCACTCAGGGGTTTGGGCTGTGGAGACACAGAGGTGGTCCCAGTAGAAGTCTCCCCACCTGGGATGCTGTGGCTGGGCTGGCAGGAGGGTGGGCCCTGTTTGCCAGGATTTTGGCTTGGTGACTCCAGGGAAATGCCATGTTACAGCTCCCTCCATCCCTCCCAGGAGAGAAGGGCTTGCTTTGAAAGTGGACGGACACTTTGCCATGTGTGGGTATTATTATTGTTGTTGTGCTGCTCTGCCGTGTGTGGGTGGTGGTGTTACGATTACTACTGTGAGTGTGGGGACCACTTTTGCATGCCAGAAGGCCAAAAGTGCATAGAGGTCTTGCAAGACCCAGACTTGGTAACTAAGTGGCTTCATCCTCTGGAGATGGAGAGCCCCCAGCCGAGGAAATCCACGGGGCAGAGAGTGTCACTGCTGGTGCTGCGCACTCGGTGGGGATGTGGCTTCGTTGAGCCAGTGCATGGAACAGGTGTCAGCAGCTGTTTGTGATTCCACAAGCCCTCGTGGATGGGCTGGAAGGTGTGTTTGAGCATCCTTCTAGGAACCTGGCTTCACACAGTTGCACCATCTCTGGCAGACCCCAGACCCATTAATTGCACCCACCTTGTTGTGTTTGAATTGACAATAAAGTGTTTGAGCAGTGGATAATCCTCACACCCACCTCTGTGTCTGTGAGCCAGGTCCGGTTCAGGGTATCGCTACTGGGGAGAGAGCTGGGTGACTGCTCCTTCTCTTCTTTCTGGTTTTTGGATCCAGGGCCTGTGTCCAGGGAAGGGGTTTCTGAGGGGAGGGGAGCTGCCCTGCTGGTTGATGGGGACTTGGACCGGACCTCAGGGTGCTGCCCACGGGCTGGGGAGGGCCTGGCTGTGGGCTTTGAGCACTGTGAAGGTCAGGCAGTGCTCCATGGGTGATCCTGGCAGTGGCACCTTGACTCTGCCACATAGTCTCTCAAGCAGCTCACTTGAGGTTCTCTGTGCCTCAGTTTCCCCACGAAGATGATGGGAGCATGCGGGAGGTGACTGAGACAGGAGAAGGGGTGAGGGGAGCATCCAGGAATGGGACAGGATCAGCGAGCCAAAGGGTATCTGAGTGTCATTCCACCTCCAGCCCTGGCTCTCCTCCCCAAACACCCCCTAAATAATTCAAGTGCTTTTCAAGCATGGCAAGTGTTTGTGGAAAGCGGTGTGTGCAGTTTCCCCTGCCTTGATGGCACCTCCCTGCGTGGTGGCCAAGCCGGGCAATCCACCGATGGGCACTTGGGTCAAGATTTCTCCCCCAGCTGCAGATGTGCTAGAGTCTTTGGAGCGCCATGTATGTTGCTAAAAATGGGGTACCAGGGGTGTGTGTTGAACTGGGCACCCCAAAACTGGCTATCACTCCCCAACCCTGATGAGATGCTCTGGTAACATAATCCACTTAATGATGAGTGCAGAGGTTGTGGGCATCCCCTTGCTGCTGATGGGTGGTGTGGCAGGGTCGTTGGGGACCCTCCTAAACCAAGCTTTGCTGGGGTTCACCTGTGCCAAGAGAGACAGTGGGGGTCCAGGGGCTTTCTGCCCAACCTCAGGGTCTGCAGGGGACAGTGGGAAAGTCATGTGTGGGACTGGAATCTGTCCCCTCATGTGTTTACTTCTCCCCACTGTGGGTAGTGGTGAGCTGCGGGGGGCTCAGCCAGGGGTCTAGGCGACACGCTGGCTTTGGCTTGCCTTGACCTGCTGCCCCATGGCTTTAGCTTTATATTTATCTTTACCTGAGAGGGTGAGGCATTGCTTGTGCCTGCTCTGCATACACCATTTTTGGGTCTCATCCCCCCTTGTGGCCATCCCAGTGCCAGAGCTGGATGAGTCGAGTGTGTCTGTGGTCAGCCCTCCCAAACCTGTCAATCTCAAGGCTGCTCCCACGTTCCTCTGAAAGCAGAGGGATAGTTTTGGGGATTATTACCCCTGGTTTATGGTGAGGAGAGGCGCTTGGACAGGGCTTTCAGCTTCTTTGTAGCTCCCTTTACTAACGAACAGAGCATGTTGTAATTGCGCCGGCCGCCTCCTTGTGCATGTGCTGCCTCGCTGCCCATGTTTGCTCGGGAGCAGCTCGGTGCACGCGGTCCCCACGTGCATCGCCTTTTGTGCTCGTACCCATAAAACCCCACACAACTGTGTGTTATATGCATGTCCTCAAAGGGACTCCAGCACCATCCCCCCGTTTTGCTGCAGGGTTTTTTCCCACCTCCTGAATTTTTGGGAAGCAGCCAGGGCGTGGGAGCAGGGTTGGGGCTGCTCGCTGGTGCGCGCCAGGCTGCCTGCATTTAAAATCACCCGGTTTCATCCTGCTTTAAATCAAGGAAACCTCCATTTGAGATGGTGTCCTTTCATCTCATTTTGTGTTTGTTGCATTAGTTTTGTATTTTTTCCTGAAGGGAGGCTGAGTGTTGCTGGTCACTGTCCATTAAGAAACGCTAATTAGCAGCTCAATATTCCCTGTCCACTAACCTTCACACCCCCTTCTTCCTCGCTGCTTGGTTTGCAGCATCCAGCCACATTTGATATGTCATTAACTGGATTCACACTCCTGTGGGTTGCTAATTTTTTTGGGCCCCATCCTTCACAGGTTACAAACCGGTGAGCAGGGTATTTATTAGCATCCTGGCTTCCCATGGCCCCTCAGGCTTGGCGGAGATTCAAGATGCAATTAAAAAATGCGTGAAAGACGGCATCTTTGACTCCTTTGCCCAAGTAACGCACTAGATATTTGAGAAGTGAAGTATTGAAATGCAGTTTTGTGCATAAAATGGACTCAGGGAATAAGAAAACAGCCGATGGGTCGAACCCGTGCTTTCTGGACACTGGATAATTCAAGATCTTAAAATACCGGATGGTTTGTCATGTCCTTTTTTTTTTTTTTTTTTTTCTCTGAGTGTGGAGGAGCTGAAGGATTTTTTTTCTGCCTCACTGTTTTCCAGCCCAGCTGCTGTGCCTTGAAACGGGGGCAGCACAGCCCCTCACCCCCCAACTTTCCCTGCTCCCTGTCGTCCTCATGGGAGCCTTGGCAGCAGAGGATGGGAGAAGGTTCTTAACTTCAATGACTTTAATAGATTATCATAAACTTCGGTCTTAATACAAGCTGTCATGATTTCAAATTATCTTACTTTTAAATTAAATAGATTCCTTTTTAAATACAAAATCAATTCTAATTTTTTAGAGGGGTGAGATTTTTCAAAGGCACCGATGAGTTGGGCATATTTAACTGCTCTTGAATATCTCCCTGAAATATCTAATAATTTTTTTTTTAATCTCAGCTAAGCTCTTGGCTGTGCTGATGGATGCTCTGACCATGACTTCCCTGGGTTAATAATGGGATGGCATGGAGGGTCATGGGGATGTTAGGCAGACCACCGTTGGGGGTACAGGCTGCCACTAATTGGGATGATGGGCTGCCGGCACACCTGCCCACCCCAGCTCTCCTTCCAGGCTCTGTGGGAAGGTGGTGACATGTGACACCCGTCAGCTCTCATCCACGTGTCTGTGCACTGCTGCAGACTGCTGGAGGTGGTTCCCCTGCCACCTACCCTCACCCCTGGCTCCTAAATGGTCTTGGAGGAGGGAAGCTGGAGCTAAGAGGCTGCAGGGTTGTCTTATACCTTTTTTTTCCCCACTTCCATGTCAAATGGGAAGAGCATCCCATTGGGTTTTGGTTGGGGGTTGCTTGGCCCTGCTTCTCTCACCCAGGTCTGGGTGCTGGTGGTGGGTCCCAAAGGACAGGTTTTTGTTCCCAGCTGTCTGTGGTAGCAAAGGGGGGCTCAGGGTGTGGCATTACTGGTCCTCAGCTCAACTTCATTTCCAAGGGAGTCAAGGGCACCCCCATATCACCACTGGACCCCCCCTTCCCTGTCACGTGTCCCCAGCCCATGAAGCCGGGGCATGGCAGAGGGCTGCAGTGGGGCTGGTCCCACTGTGGGATCCACAGCATCGTTCTGGTGCGAACCTTGCACCTGGAAATAGGTGTAATGGCAAAATAATGGAGCAAATATTAAGAAATTCTTAAGTACCTAGAGAATAACCAAGTTAAATTATACCAGAGGAGCTCAATTGCCTTGCTTAGATTGATTGAATTACTAAATGAGCCTGACTAATGGAATGGAGTGGATATATCGGACTTTTACTCAAGATCCTGAAATAATTCCTCTAATAAGATTGTGAGCCATTAATTGAACTTGGCTTTGATCCTGGACACTGTCACATGCACTGAAACCTGGTGGTATGATCTATGCTCCGGCGTGCCTGGTCAAGGGGGTGGCTGCTGACATCTCCCCACTGGGTAGCTTGGAGGGCAGCCAGGTGCTTCGCCAGGGGGTCCCGATGCACCCATGCCACGACCTGCGATGGGGAAGGGACCCTGAAACACTCCATCTTGGCAGTCCTCCTGCCTGCTGGCAAAACCCGCCCTGGCAGTGGGATGCACTTAATTCCCTTCTGCTGCCAGCAGCTGATCTCCTGGCCAGGATCCTAACCACTTCCCATCACTGTGGGGTGAATTTGAGATGGATGCTTTGGGGTTTATACCCCCCACAAATCCAGGGGTGCCTTCTTCTTCCTATGCCCTCCTGGAGTGGTTGGTGCTGGTGATGGGACATTGTCCGTAGTACCCAGAACACTGCTGATTGTCCAGTCTGTGCTATGAGATGCTTCACTCCACATCGCTTGCCTCCTTCTTTTTTCTTCATCAAACCCAGCCCATCACTAAGACCTCAGTGCTGCTGCATCTCCTTCCCCCTCTGATGCTTTGGTGCTTGCTTTTCGCACTGGAGGTGTCCTCTTGGGTGCTGGCAGCAGAGGCCAGCATGCCCCAAAGGGTGCTGCCAAGGTCTGAGGGCTTGCAGAACTTCCAGCAAACAGAGAGGGACCTGCCAAGGGATGTATCCCGCCCTGGACCTGCCCTGGAGCAACTGGTGGGACGGGACAGGCTCATCTAACAGTGCTTGGGTGCAAATCACTGGTGGGACCCTGCTCCTGCCCTTGCTCTTGGCCATGCGATATAAACCTGACTTCTCCACATCCTTTTCCAGCTGAAGGAGGGGGCCAGAATGGGCAAGGTGACCTTCTCAGAGCCACGGAAGCACCGAGGGCACCCCCATGCCTGGTCACACACCCTCCTCCAGGAGGTGGAGACCAGCACCAGCCTCAGCTACAAGCAGGGACAGTCCTTAAAACCCAGCAGCCGGGGTGGAAAATGCTGCAGGAAGGTGGGCAGCATCCCTGAGAGAAGTACAGGGTCCCCCATGGCTGAACTGGGGTGACCAAATCTCAGGACACCTTGCCTCCATGTTGTGCCCATTGTCAATCCGCTCTCTTACTGGGAGTGGAGGCACAGCAGATGTAGAGGGCTTCTTGTATATTTTTTCTTAACTAAGGGAAAAAAAAAAAAATAGGGATTTCGTCTCTGGGAACCCGTTGCCACAGCAACCGTGCATCCAGCTGGCTCCAGCGGCAGCGGGGCTGGGAGGGGATCTCACTGACCCAGAAAGTGGTGGGGGGAGCAGGCCGTGGGGCTGCTTGGCATTTCAGTGCGGGGTACCAGGGTCTGGCAGCACCTGGCAGGGTGGGCAGAGGACCAATGTTCAGCCGAGGGGGCTGTAGGGGGCCTGGACCCCTGTTTTGGCTGGACAGAGTGATGCTCCCAGCTCCTTTTAATCACTCCCAGCCTTAACTTCTCAGACTGCATCCTGGCAGAGATGCTCAGGCTTGCTCTCATTCCCACCCTGAAACCTGTCCCAGTGCATGGACACTCCTCAGAGACCCCCATAGCTCTGTAGGCATGCTTTACCCCCTGGAACTGGCTCTAGTTTCAGTGGTGGAGGGGACCCTAAGGCAGCCACATGCCTCCTTGATACTGCTATCTCACCTGCCCTTCTCTCCCTATGCCAGTGGCATTTGCTCCTGGGCCACATCCTATTTTCTACTATTTTATTTTATTTTATTTTATTTTATTTTATTTTATTTTATTTTATTTTATTTTATTTTATTTTATTTTATTTTATTTTATTTTATTTTATTTTATTTTATTTTATTTTATTTTATTTATTATTTTATTGTTGCTTAGCCGGCTAAGCTTGGAGGCTTACTTCAGAGCAGTCCTTCAAATGAAGGTATTTTTTTGCCTGGTGGGATTAAGGTAGCTTCTGGATGGTGATGGTGCTGTCATTTAAGACTGGTTGTCTTTTTACTTGCAAATTGCCAGGCTCTGGCTTCTCTACAGCTAGCCTGGCTGTGGCCAGCAGCTCACCCCAAGCAGCAGTGCTCTGAAGGCTGGGGGATTTGTCTAGATAAGGGAAGATTTTTGATTGTCAGGTTCTGGCTGTCCCGCTACATCTTAACGCTGAGAAAGGGCCTGGAGGAGAGCATCCTCTGCTCCCATGTGCCATGTTGGTATTCTGATCACATTTTGCTGCCCTGCATCTGGGGGATGCTTGGGATGGATGTTCACCCCGCAGCACTGGCACTGGGCTCTTTGTGGTCTGGTCTGGGATGTGGTCTAAACTGACCCCATGCTTTGCTTTGTTATGGGGCTTCGTTTGCTGGTGATGGGCTTAGGCAGGGGTTTGAGACTGTCTCCTCTGCCGTGTCCTGTCTGCAGAGCCTGAGGTCTGCTGGGGAATGGGCAGGGGCTTTTTTCACCATTTATAACTGAAGGAGGTGTAAAGGATCCATGAGGCACCTTCTATTTGGTGATGGCACATTGGTCACAGAAGTTTGGGATCCACAGCCCTGATGCAAGAGGAGGAACCATCCCTTTCCTGGCTGGCTCTGAGGCATTTCAGTAATTAGGATGACTAACGAGCGTAGCAGAGCAAGCAGCTATGGGGGATGCAGAGATCTGGCTTTGGTTCTGTGGGGAGTTGATCCAGCTGAAAACTAACCTGGTGGAAGAAAGAAGTTGAGAAGGTGACAGGAGATATTAAGGATACCTTCCCCATGCCCTTGCTGGGGCACAGCACTTCTGCTTGGTAACAAGGGCTGTGTTACCTCTAGAGTTCTCCCTGAATTGGGTCTGCAGTCCAAGCAAAGCCATTGCCTGGCTGCTGGAGCCTCTTGGGATGGAGGTCTCCTGATAGGCGGGGGAAACTAGGTACAGGCAAGACCTTGACCTTGGTTTTTGAGGAAGCACCTCCTGTTCCTTTCTTATGCACCTCTACCCTCCTCCCCTGCCAAAAAATCTGTCCCCGATGTCACCGTCACAACAGAGTGGCTGCCTGGGAAAGCAGCCCCGAAATATCCTGGGGACAGGCTCTTGTGTGATGGGAGACAGTTGCCATGGAAACCTCCTTCAAATGAAAATAAAAAAAAAGAAAAAAACCCGAAATTTAAAGCAGCCCTTGTAGCTCAGAGGAACTGTAGACCTTATTATGGGTTTTGGCACCCCCCCCTTTTTCTTTTATTTGTTCCAGCTAAAAGCTCCAGGAGACATGGCAATTAATTTGAGCATCCCAAGGGGAGCAAGAGAGGGAGGGCACGGTGCTGGGAACCAGCTGCCTGGGCCGGTGGGCTCACAGTACTTCCCAGTGCTGCTGCCCTGCAGCCACCAAATGCCCTCTGGTAATGGGTTTTCTCCACCATGGAGGAAGAATCAAGGTGTTTTTTTAGAAGAGGTAGCTTAAGGCTTAAAAGTCCTCTTTCCTAGCTCCCTAGATGGAGGGTTTGGGGTGGGGGTTGGTGCGAGCAAAGGCTTAGGGGCACTGAGGGAGGAATGAGGATATGGGAAACAGCTACAGGGCACAGCTCTGGCGTGGGGACGGGCAGCTCAGCGCAGGTCAGGGTGATTTGTCTTTATGTGTGTGGCATCAGGAGATAGTGCCCTTTCTCCTGCTGAGAAGGGCAGCGTCGTGGCAGGGAGGCTTCTGTAGAGATAGACTTCAGTGGGTGAGGGGAGGTGCCTGGGAGAGGAGGCATCCTTCTCCCGAATTTTCTTGTCAGGGTCTACTTTGCAGCCATAGCCGCAGGTTCCCAGGGGGGCTTAGTCCAGCTCAGCACAGACTTTAAATTGCTGTGGTGCTCTCAGCCCGTCCTCTCCCCTAATGATGTCCCCAGTGTCCACAGCTGCTGAAAAATCTGGAAATGTCATATTGGGACCAGAGAGCCCACTGTGCCTGCCACTGCCCCAGGCTGGTCTCAAGCTCCTCTTGGTGCTGCTTTCCTTGTGGTGGTCGTGCCGGTGCAGAGCTGTTTTCCCATCCCAGAGCTGCATCTCCCCAACCTTTCCTGTGTTGCTCAGCCAGAAATAGCTGGGTTCTGGCTCTTGCCACTTTTAGGAAGAGCTCTGGAGAGGAGCAGCAATGGGACTTGAGAGCTGTCATGCTGTTGTGGAGCTGCTGGCTAAAGGGATAAGCCAGGGAGTTTGTCTTTGCAGACATGACACATGTGGCACAAGAATTGGGGGGGGATTAGAAATGTCTCTGCAGACCAGTGAGATGGGAGCTGCAGGGGTCTCGTCCCAGCTTATGCTAAGGCTCAGCTTTTTTAGCCAGGCTGGGATGCATGTCTGAGCGTCTGCAAGCAAGACAGTGCCTGAAACATCCTTCAAGGGAAAAATCAAACCAATTTTATCAGGTTTTCAGCAGGAGCTGCTCTCTTCCTGGGTGCGTGGTGCTCCTGGCATGCTCAGACCTAGTGGGCAGGAGAAATAGCTCAGCCTCCTCCATGGATGATGGAAATGCCTATGAGCTGGGGAGGGGAGCACATTGCATGCCTTGAGTCTGCTTAGTCAACCTTGGACCTGGGCTGGCTTCCACAGCTTTTTAGTATCACGTTTTCCTCCTTCCTTACTTGTCAAGTAAGGCAAGTGGCTGGTTAACAGCTGGAGGACTCAGCCTCAACCTGCCCACCCCAAGCATCCTCCTGCAGTCCCCCCATGCTGGCCAGCACAAATTGGGGTGAAGGAGTGTCCCACAGGTGCTGGGGCTGAGAGCTGTGAGGGATGCAGAGGTTCCTGGGATGGAGGTGTTACACATCTCCCCATGGGATCGTGATGGCGTGGTCAGCCCGGGCTGGATCTGTCCTCCTTGTAATTAAAGCTCAGCGTCAGGGAAAAAGGGCTTTTCACGTGCCGTGGGAAGAAAGTGTGTGAAACACAGCTGTGCCAAGCAGTGGGAGAGCATCAGGGTGATGGAGGGAGGACAGGAAAAGAAGGACCATGAGGGGCAAGGAGCGGTACAATGGCAGGTGGTAGAAAATAACTGGAGGGACCACGAGAAAGCCAAGGGGCTATAGGAGCAGTGATGGAGGGTACTGGCAGAACCACTCGCCATGGGTGTAAGCCACCCCATACCTCGTGGCTTCTTGAAACCGCCATGCATGGAGCCCAGTGAAGTGCCCTTTGGAGCTAATAGCTGCAGGAATTCATGGCTGGTTTCACACCTGGTGGCAGCATCCATGTCCTGGGAATAACACTGCAAGGGCCATGGCTGTGTGTTCCATGGGTTTCTGGCCAAGAAAGGAAGGAGGTGTCAGGCTGGCTCACCAAGCCCTGGTCTCAGCCACAGCCAGAGCCTGTGGGATTAAAGCAAAGATGTGGCTGTGAATGCAGGAGTTTGCAGTTGCCTGGTGCTCAGAGTCTGGTAGGGCTCTTCGAGATACTGAAAATGCAGCTCACTCCTTGCCTCAATTTAATTTTGTTTGCTTACAAAAATGCTACCTATTTGCTAAAATGGGATACTGCTTCCCTTTGGCACAGGAGGAGCAAGAGGCAGCAGCCCCTCGCTCAGAAATGCCCCAGTCATGGTCACAGGTGTGTTGTCCTGGCTGGGAGGACCCTCAGCACTTGTCTGGGCTGGAGCATCCTGGCTCCATCCCCTTTTTTTTCTGGCCATCTCAGATTTCAGCACTGGACTAAGAAATTCAGATTTTCCTCCTTTTTTTTCCCCCCATGCAAGCTCACAGGAACTTTCTGCCCGTGGTTATGACACTGGAGTTTCCTTTTCCCTACCAATGGTGCAGGCGCTGCCTGGAAAGACAGGCAGGTAAATACAGGCAGGGCCGTGCTGCCGTGTGATCGCATTAAAGCTGATGGGTGCTGAAACCGAAGAGCAGTGTTACATAATTTGGACTGCAATGCAGAAGCTCTTGCTTAATTTTTAATTATCCAATTGCTTCACGTATGTAACACTCAACCTGGGAAGAGAGGTTGGCCCGCAGGCACGTGCAAGGGGCTTGGCTGGCAAAGATGATGGGTAAGCTTTCCCTCGTGTTCCTCCTGGCATGGCAGAAAGAAA